TGTGTGTGTGTGAGAGAGAGAGAGAAAGAGAGAGAGAGAGAGAGAGAGAGAGAGAGAGAGTATAGATTCATCATCTTAACTTTTTGTAGTGTTGAAGATGGAATTCAGATCCTTGTGCAGGCTAAAAATGTCTCTGATGCTGAGTTAGAATCATCTGATAATCATTTTACACATACGGCAGGGTTGGTTACATGTACATTGTGTGGCACAACTCTCTAGTTTAATAATCTTGTAGGATGGAAACTTCATACTCACAACATAACACCACTCCCCGGATTCTCCATAACCCTGGGTAACTGCCATTCTCCCTTTGGTTTTTAAGAGTTTGACTAATTGAAATATCTCCTATAGGTGGGATTGTGTAGTATTTACCTTTGACACTTTAGATTTGTGTGTGCTTATATGTATGTGTGTGAATGCTCATGTAGAGGACAACCATGTTGTTCCTCAGGCATCATCTACTTTTTAAAGACAGTTACTCATTTGGCTTGAACTCTGAAGTAGACCAGGTGGGCAAGACTGCAAGCCTCACTTATCCACCTGCCTCCCCTTCCCCAGCACCAAGACTACCAAGATGTCACCATACCCAGCATTTTCTATTTGGGTTCTGAGGATGCAACTTTGGTTCTCATGCTCGCAAGGCAGGCACATAGTATCTGAGCCATCTCTTTCAGCCTGTTTATTTTTTCCAACATACAGTATTACCATCAAGGCTGGGCAGTGGTGGTGCATGCCTTTAATCCCAGCACTTGGAGGCAGAGACAGGCAGATCTCTGAGCTCAAGGCCAGCCTGGTCTACAGAGTGAGTTACAGGACAGCCAGGGTTACACAGAGAAACCTTGTCTCAAAAGGAAAGAAAGAATGGAAGGAAGGGAGGGAGGGAAGGAGGGAGGGAGGGAGGGGGGAGGGAGGGAAGGAAGAAAAGGAAAGAAAGAAAAAACATGAAGTTTCCTTTTTGAAACTAGATTAATTCCTTTACTATGAACTCCAGTTTTATCCATTTTCATGCAAGTGATATAATTTCTTCATTCTTCTCAGAAAAATTTGGGTGTCTTCCTTTATCAGTCCACCTTATTTTTCTTTGGTGTATATGGGGGGTTTGTGTGAATGTATGTCTACATACCACATGTATGCCAGGTGCCTATGGATGTCAGAAGAGGGTGTCATATCCCTTGGAACTTGAGTTACAGACTCTTGTGAACCACATTGTGGATGCTGGGATTCAAACCCAGGTTCTTGGCAAGAGCAGCCAAAACTCTTAACCTTATTTATTTATTTATTTATTTATTTATCCATTTATTGTCTTTGCTTTTGGAGACAGGGTTTCTCTGTGTAGCTTTGGAGCCTATCCTGGCACTTGCTCTGTAGACCAGGCTGGCCTCGAACTCACACTCTTAAACCTTATTTAAAAATGTTTTATATGTATGTTAGTTTCTGAATGTATGTACATGCTGCATATGTGTGCAGTCTCCTCAGAGCCCAGACCCCTGAAACTGGAGTTATAGACTGTTGTGAGCCACCATGTGGCTGCAGGGAAACAGATCCAGGTCTGCTGCAGGAGCAGGCAGTGCACTTAACTGTTGAGGAATTTCTAAAGTCTACTACCCTTATTTCTGAGACAAGGTCTTTCACTGAATCCTAACCTGAAATTTGTCTAGAGTGGCTGGCAGCCAGTGCTCAGGATCCACTTGTCTCAGTCTCCATCCCTACCTCCTGCCACCGTACTTGTCTTGTATTGTTTCTGGAAATACAAATTCAGATGATGCTTGAGCAGGAAGCACTTTACCCACTGAGGCATCTCCCCAGCTCTTGGGTCGTTTTATTTATTTATTTTTTTTAAGGCTGAATAATAAACCCCATCTCATGTATGCATTAACTGTTCTCTACTCATCGTGGTAATTTAGGTTGGGTTGCTTTCATCTTGTGACTATTGTGAACAATGCTCCAATGAACATGGGTGGGTGCACAAATATTGAAGTCCTGTTTCCTAAGCATTTGGACATATACCCAGAAGTGGGATTTCTGGATCCTATGGTAACTTTGTTTTAAAGGAATCATTGTATTGTTTTTCACCATGGTTGTACCATTTAATTGTCCCACTAACAGTGCTCAGGGTTCCAATACCCACCCTCGAAACACACAGACTGAAAGAGAGATGAGGATGTACTATAAGGTGAACATTGTTGACGTTATGCTAAATGAAAGTTTTTAGTTATTTGAATTTTGTTCCTGAGTCATGATGCTCTTTACATATTCCTCTCCAACACTTACTTTCTTTGATGACTAGGATGCAGAAGAGCCACAGCAGGAAAGAAAAGGCAAATTGGCATCCAGTTGACTCTGTCAATTTTTTTTTTTTTTTTTTTTGAGACAGGTTTTCTCTGTGTCACTTTGGAACCTGTCCTGTAACTAGTTTCTGTAGACCAGGCTGGCCTTGAACTCACCATGGTCCGCCTGCCTCTGCCTCCCAAGAATTGGGATTTAAGGCGTGCGCCACCACCACTGCCCAGCCATCAACTCTTACCCTTAGAACGCAGTCATTAAGCCGTGAGAAGCAGAACAGGCAGACTGTGGACATGGCCTAGTTCTGTCTCACTGCAAGTCCCAGCTAACAGCCACCAACAACTTCCAAACACATGAGTGACTACAAAGATTTAAACCCATGACTTCTGCATGAACAGGTTGTTCTTGACAACCACTGTCCATACTGCAGATTCACGAGAAAATGCACATTTCAACTGGCATGTTTGGGGTGGCTTACTGCCAAGCATCTGATGCTTGAAATACTACCAATAGTTTTGAAGCCTCTTCTATATCCTTCCCTGTTTGAACCTTCCTCCTGCCTCCCCAACTATTACTTATACTTATTCCTAATTTTTATCTTTTGGACCATTAGTTTTATTATGTGTATGTACATATAAAAGTATTGTTAAACATATGTAACAATAAACTGGGTAAATTATGTTCTGCATGCTTTATGTATTTATTCCCCTGTCAATGCAGGTTATCTATTTATAAATCTTATTGTGTTGGGGGGGGTATGTATGTCTTGGTGCATATGGATATGGGGAAGCTCAGAGGATAGAGACTGAACTCTGGTAGCCAGGCTTTCATGGAAAATGCTTTGACCCACTAAGTCTTCTTGCTGGGCCATTATGTTTGCTCTTAAAATGCTTACATGATTTTTTTCCCCTTCTGGCACTGAAGATCATGCTTTGGGCCTTGTAAATACTTAAACTAGGCACAAGCTCGTCCACTGGGATACTTTCCCTGACCTATGACATGGAAGACATCCAAATACCAATAAATAGGTTATTGAAATAAAATACATTGACAGGATACAGAAATTTGTAATGCAAGTCACATTTTAATACAGTTTCAAAACCACTTCCCAATATAACTACAAATTTAATCAGGAAAAATAGAAGAAATATCTTAACCATTAGTACACTGCTTTAAAGCATTTTCTGAATCCTTTGCTTACTGTCTAAGATGACAAAGGTACCAGAGGTGTCCAACATTTTGACACTGTGACATGACACTGTCATCTACAGATGTGTTAGGCCATAGGTTAGACATGCTCTACTGAAATAGTCTATCTGAGCATTTTATGCTCTATGTAGTTTCCCCCAGTAGCCTATTATAAAAAAAGCTGTTGACAAAGTTTAACAGGGAATAAAGCCCTCATAGTAAGTTGATAAAATTTACAAGAGTATACGTTTAAACATTTTGTTACTATAATTATTAGTAAAATCTACTCCCATAGAAAAATTCAGCAAAAATCTTTATTAAAAGAATGTACTCTGGCTGCAATAAAATCTCCACATTTGTGTTTTAAAAATAAACAAATATCAGCATGTGGTATATGTCTGTAATCCCAGCAAGTGGGAGATGGAGGCAGGAAGATTACTGCAAATTTGAGTCCAGTCTGGACTGGGAGGCAAGATCCTGTCTCAAAAAAACCAAAACAGAGAGCAGGGAGGGAGGGAGAGGGAGAGAAAAGAGGGAGAGAGAAGAAAGAGAAGAGGGGAGAGAATATCAACAATAGATGAATAGATTTATCAAAGGAATTCAGTATGAAATCAGAATAAAGAAATATTAATTGCTTGGAATATTGATGTGGAAGACTGAGGAGTCTAAAATGCCTTTGTTGTAGCAAATAATGAGACTTCACATTGTTGTAGCAACCCTCCTCTATTTAGTAGCGGAAAAAAGTTCGTTGAGTATCCTTTAACATTTACAAATTATCAATTGATTTAATTATTTAACCCACCTGGGAACTGTATTGGCTACGGTAAGTGCATTACTTAACAAACTGAGTGAGTCTTTTTAAATGACCTAATAAAAATGACTAAAAGCCAGGGCAGGATGGAGAAGCTAAGACCAGGTGCTTTCTGTGGATGGAAAAGCAACAATTTTAAAGCCCATTCTAAAATACTAACACATCCTGGGTTCAGTCTCCACTGTGTTTAGAACACAGTAAGCCCAACATTTTAAAACCAGGTCCCTATCTTATTCTCAAAACCAATTTCTACCACAGTGAATAAAAGTGCTCATAACTAATAATATACACTAAAAAACAAAATTACAAATGGCTTATGTCTCATTGCCAGCAATGAGCATGTTAAATGCTAAAGGGCTCTTTGATACTTATAAAAGCCAAAAATATATATTCATTTCTTACTTCCCATAGTTCTAAAATTATCATTATATAATTGAGCATAAAATAATCTTTTGACCTGGTAACTAAAACGATTACATTTAGGATGACTAAGATGCAGGGAGCCCCTCCTTAGGTGTCTCATTACAGTGTACCAGCTCAAGAGAATTAAACAGGAAGAGAACACAATTCAGGGGAGGAAATGACTAGTTTATTTGTTTTATAAAATAGAATGAGAAAGTTTAGTGTAGATGGTCAGGAGGAGACAGTCTTGGATGTCATCTTCACCAAGAATAGACCCATACCATTTCTTATTCATCCCCATAGCACAGGCATGGAAGTCTAATTCCGGATCCCTGCTTAATCACTTACATTCTTCTTAAGGAATCCAAAAGAAAAATACTTTGAATTTTGGTTACTCTTAAAGTTAATATTTGCAGATGCCCTGGAAGCAACAGTTTGATTTGGTGTCTTGTGTCCCAAGAAGGAACAGTAAACTCAGTTCATAGCAATGTGCCCTTGACTTTCAAAGGCTGTGACCAATGATTTGGGAGTTGTAATCTGCAGGCTCCATTTTTAAAATGTGTGGGATGACACTGTCGATTCGTACATTCCCTATGAGACCCTTGAAGAACAATTCTTCAGTGATGGTGGCGTTCATCAGTCTCAATGCCGGCAGTCTGAGAAGTAGTCGAGATAGCCTGGAAGAAGGAGAGGAGCCAGGGGAAAAGTCAGACTTGGGGAGAAAAGCAGCCATGAAAACAATAAAGATCAAATTTTCAAAGACCAAAGCCAAAAGTCCAGATTGTCAAGGCTTAGAGTGACATGACAATCACCTGTATACCATTTCAATCTTCACAGGAAAGCCCTGCTCTGAATCACTTCACCACATTGTTCCCACTTGGCTGCAAAGACCATCAATCAGGTTCATTTAAGAACATCTTCCCAACAATGCTTTTAGATGTTTTAACAACAATGCTTTATGTTATCAGAACATAGAAGGTCCAATAACTCTCTTCTTTTGAAAATGCACACACATAGAGACACTGACACACACACAGAGACACACACACACACACACACACACACCACACACACACACACACAGACATATATAGACACATACAGACACAGACACACACAAAGTCATTGGGTTCAAATTGTGAGCCAACTGCCCCTTGTTATATGAGCTGATGTGAAGATGAATGACTGCTTCCTGTCTAGTTCTATGTTCAGGAGAAGTTCATAAAGGTAGGACCATTAGCTTGTGTGGAAATGTATCTGAAGCTGAAAATTGCTGTTCAAGTGCAACAGCTTTTACATAAGTAGGAATGTGAAAAACCGAGAGAGTATCCTTACTCTGTGTTTTGGGTCATTGGGAAGTAAAACAAGGGTCACCTGAAAACACACCCCGAATGAGACACCTGACACCTGAGACAGGTACCACACAATCAACAGGAGAGGAGTCTGTACAGAACGGAGATGCTAGGCAGAGGGGCGAAGACACAACCAAAGGTGAGACCAAACAAGAGAATATGACATCATGTTCTCTCACGATGTCATCTGCTATTACAACAGTATGTGATTTGGAATGCATGAATACTTCTTGGAATTCTTCATTATTTTTGACTGGAATTAACCACAGATAACTGAAATTATGCATAAAGAACCCTACTAGAATTTTGAAAAGTGGATGGTATTATCATAAGGAAAGTGAAACATAGACATTAAATCCAGCAAGCATGGTATCATATGCTTATGGTCAAAAAACTGTATTCTCTCCGGGCGTTGGTGGCACATGCCTTTAGTCCCAGCACTCGGGAGGCAGAGGCAGGTGGATCTCTGTGAGTTCAAGACCAGCCTGGTCTACAAGAGCTAGTTCCAGGACAGCCTCCAAAGCCACAGAGAAACCCTGTCTCGAAAAACCAAAGAACAAAACAAACAAACAAAACTGTATTCTCAATCATTCTGATCTACTGTCCTTTCTCCAGAGATGGGTGGCTGTTTTTATAAAAATAAGAAGGGAGAGCTCCCTCCCACACTAAAGAACAGTGGCAAGAAGTAACTTGGAAGAATTATCATAAGCTATGTTTCAAAATGAACTATCAGTTTGAGTGTTTTAATTCATCATTTTCCTTTCTCTTCTTACTAATACAGTTATTGCATCTGAAAAGTTGGGCTCTGACAATACTGTGTCTTTGTGCCAATACCTCACTCTCTCTATCTAAAGCAGTAGTTCTCAATCTTCCTAATGCTATGACTCTTTTTAAATAAAGTTCCTCATGCTGTGGTGACTGCCAACCATAAAATTATTTTCATTGTTACTTCATAACTGCAATTTTGCTACTGTTATGAATCATAATGTAAATACCTGTTTTCCAATGGCCTTAGGCAACTCCTGTGGAAGGGTTGTTCATCCCCAAAGGGGTGAGAACTTATTTGCCATTGTAAGAGGCCTGGTAAGAGATGATTTGTCCCCTCTGTTCTGGGGACAAATCCAAGGCCTTGCACTATGTGTGTTACTGCTAATCTAAAGTGCTGGAACCTTCTTCATGATTTTTTTTTTTTTTTTCATGGCCTAGGGAATTACATCCAGGAGCTTACACATACTAAGAAAGAACTCTAATGCTAAGATGCACTGACAGTCACAATATGGCCTTCAATAGCATTAACTACTTCAAAGGTCATGCTGACTACAGTATTTCATTACTCTAAAAATGGAAAATTATGCAGAATAGATTTACTAAAAAGCCTTTAGGCCAGGCATGTGTTGCATGCCTGTGTATAATCCCAGCAATCTGGAGGCAGAGGCAGGGGATCATGGTTAAAGGCAATCTTTGGCTGCATGTAAATTCAAGACCAGTGTAAGCTACATGAAACCCTATCTCAAAATAAACACAAACCCTTTAAATGAACCTAGCAGTACCTGTAGGTATCATCTGGGTATGTCCTGGTGATGTAATCCTGGAATTCCACATAAGCCTTTTCCTGAAACTTCTCAATGAGCTCCATGTTCTCCAAGCCTGGATGATCTGAGATGTAAAAGAACATAGTTACCCAAGTCCTGAATGCTCAATAATTCCTGAGATGTGGAGACACAGGGTGGAGGAACAAATAGCTCATTAGAAACAGAAACCCCCGCCCCCCCCCCCACAACGTTTTACTCCTTCATCCCCTAAGTATTTACTGAACACACCATCAACACCGTATTGTAGCCAGTGGTAACTATTATAACGTCTAATAAAAACCAGACCACTGTATGTTACCAATATGTTTTTTTCCTCAAAAGTGTTGGAATGTTTTTTTTTGTTGTTATTGTTTTGTTTGTTTCTTTTTACCACTTTGCTTTTAACAACAGAAAATGACCTAAAAGACTAAATTAAAAAGCCCCTCAAAACCTGGTGTTGGTGGTGTATGCCTTTAATCCCAGCACTCGGGAGGCAGAGGCTGGCGGATCTCTGTGAGTTTGAGGCCAGCCTGGTCTCCAGAGCGAGTGCCAGGATAGGCTCCAAAGCTACACAGAGAAACCCTGTCTCGAAAAACAAACAAACAAACAAACAAACAAACAGCCTCTCTAATCCACAAAATATTTGCAGGTTGCATCTGTCAAGGAGTATACCAGATATGGTCAAGTTTAAAAGTACTTATAAAATTATGAGTTATGAGCACTTTGTCAGAAAAATCATAATGCAGGAACATGAAATAATCTACAAAACAGCTTGACAGTCATATTTCACAAAATAGAAATATTTAAAGAACTCCATCAATTTACATGCAACTTCTCAATTTTACCTAAAGAAAATTGGCTAACTGGTTGTGCTAAAATGGAGACATGAGCAGGCTCTGAGTGTGGCTCAGTGGCAGAGCCATCTCCTGTCCTGTAAAGATCCTATGCTGGGTCCCAGCACAATCAACAGAAAAGATGAAATGGGTGAAAATGGAGGCACAGATCATCAGCTCATGGGAATCACTTGGCCTGCACTCTGCATTGAGCCCCAGACCCAGCCTCGTGTGAAGCACTACACAGCACCAAAGTTTTCACCTTATTCGTATCACTGAGAGGAAGAAGTAGGTTCCCCCTAGACAGTTTTACTAAGACACACAGGAACAGAATACCCATCAAAGTGTGAACACAGCTCCTCAGAGGACTGTTAATTCCTCCTACTCACAAACTAGAGACCTTGGTGCCACTTCTCTGAAAACTAGACACTAGCAGGGAAGCAAGAGGCCCGTCTTTCTATGTTTGCAGTTTTCATAGATCCCAAGAGTGTAACAAACCCGGGACACAGCAACAGTTGTCTTGCATTCTGGCTTTCATAATGCCTAACAAGATAAACCTAAGAATTCAAATAATACAGGCCTATGTGTTCCACTGGTTTTCCATGCACATGTTTGATATCCTTAAAATCAAATTTAGAACACAAAATTAGATGATTTTAGTATATTCAGAATTTTGTACTTACTACCACAATGTAACTATGGGGCATTTTTATGATTCCGAAGTAACTCCCAACGGGTAGCAATAACTCCCCTTTCCCACTCCTTGACTCTACAAATGGCTAATTTATACTCTTCTTCATGTTTGCCTATATGAGATTACTTCATATAAATGGAGCCAAACAATTATTTGTGCCTACATGAGTGGCTTCTTTCACTTAGCATGATATTTTCAGGGTTCATCATGTCACAGCATATATCAAAACTTTTTATGCTAATGGAATTTCATTGCATGCACTGTATGCTCATAATACACATACACACCCATCTGTCTTTAAATTCTTCTTATTACATTTTTGTGTGTGTAGAAATGCATGCCACAGTGCATTTCTGGAAGCTAGAGTCTTTTCTTTTTTTTAAACCACATGGGTCCCAGAGACTTGAACCCAGGTCATCAGGCTTAGCAGCAAGCACCTTCACTGGCTGACCCATCTCACCAGTCTCCTTTTCTTTTTTCCTTGCTCTCTCTCTCTCTCTCTCTCTCTCTCTCTCTCTCTCTCCTTTCTTCTTTCTTTCTTTCTCTCTCTCTTTTTTTTTTTTGTTTTCTTTTTGGAGACAGGGTTTCTCTGTGTAGCTTTGGAGCCTATCCTGGCTCTCTCTGTAGACCAGGCTGGCCTCGAACTCACAGAGATCCGCCTGCCTCTGCCTCCTGAGTGCTGGGATTAAAGGCATAAGCCACTAATGACCAGCCTTTCTTTTCTTAAGTGCTGTTTTTGAGCCAGGGTCTCACTTAACCAAAGTTGGCCCAGATTTGCCATGGAGAGGTTATCCTTGAATCCTAATCAAATTGCTTCTCCCTACCAAGTACTTATATTAAGGACATTTATCCCATCAATCCTGGCTTCATTCTTTTTTTTTTTTTTTTTTTTTTTTTTTTTTGGTTTTGCGAGACAGGGTTTCTCTGTGTAGCTTTGGAGCCTATCCTGGCACTCACTCTGGAGACCCGGTTGGCCTCGAACTCACAGAGATCCGCCTGCCTCTGCCTCCCAAGTGCTGGGTTTAAAGGTGTGTGCCACCAACGCCTGGTTCATTCATTTTTTGATGGACAATTACATAGTGTCCATTTTTTGGCTACTGTGACTAGTGCCAACACCAACACTCATGTCCATTATTTTTGTGTACATATATACTTTTCTATTTTGGGGTCAATCGAATTGAATATGTGCTTAACTCTCTCTCTCTGTGTGTCTGTGTGTCTGTGTGTGTGTGTGTGTGTGTGTGTGTGTGTGTGTGTGTGTGTGTGTGTAGCATATATACTTCTTATTACAGTTGTGTTCATGTGGAGGGGGGGCAGAAGGAGCTGTTAGGTGTCTTTCTTCTCTGCCTCTCTGTTTTGAGACAGGGTCTCTCACTGAGCTTATCGATTTGGCTAGGCTGGATGGCCAATGAGCTTTAGAGATCCCCCTATCAGCCCCCCACTCCCAGGATCACAGCTACATTCTACTGAGCCTGGCTTTTTTTTACTGGTTCTGGGGATTCAAACTCAGGTCTTTGTGCTTGCATGGCAGGTACTTTACCCACTGAATGGTTTTCCAAGCCCCCATATGTTTAATGTTCTGAAGAAGTTCTGAACTCTTGTCCAAGGCAATTGGACCATTTCACATTCCTACCTGCAAAGGATGAGGGCTCCACTATCTCCCCATCATTAAATATTTTAATGCAACACAAGTGTCCTGGGAATGGTGGTGGTTATCTGTAATCCCAAACTTGGGATTGGAGGCAGAACTACTAAGAATTCAAGTCAAGCCTGGACTACCTAGGCAGTATTAGCCTCACCATGGCTACATGTCCCAGACCCTACCTCAAAAGTACAAAAATGACTAAATAAATGAGAAAGAAAGCATATATACCTGGACTGAAGAGAACTATGGCCTTCAGGTAGGCGTATTCATAGCCATCGATGCAGAGTTTTACCATGCTGTTACAAAACTCCTGCAACTTGAAGATGTGCTCCATCAATGACTTTCTCCTTTCAGGTGACATTTTATCTTTAAAACACAAACACACACTTCTTATTGAAAATGTTTGGCCATTTTCATGTATTTTCCTTCTCACTTTCCCTGCAACATTGAATGTAATCAATCTCTAAACACTTAAAATTCAGAACCTCTGCATGGAGTGGAAGGTAACAAATCACCTTCTGCTGTTGCTCATTCAAGAAAAATGAAGTATAACCTGAAACTCAATGTTCCCTCTTCAGGTAACCCTGTAGACGTAGAGGCATCCATCTGAAAAAATGCCCAAGTCCAAAGAGGGCCAGGAACGTAGCTTAACTGGCAGAGTGCTTATCTAGCATTTAGGAAGCCTTAGATTTCATGGCCAGTACTGCAAAAATCTGGAGTGGTGGTATAGACTTGTAGTCAACACCTGGGAGGTGATCAGGATTTCAAAGTCAACCTTTGATACTTAGGATATTTTTGGTCACAAGAGACCATGTCTCAAAAGAAACAAACAACAAGAAAACCAAAGAACAAAAGACTCAAATGTTTATAACAGAATTTTCTTTAAGCTTATTTCATTTGAAAAATAACTAGGAAAACCACTTTCAATTTTAAAAATTAGAAACTCTAGAATAATAAAAAGAAAAAGAATGAGCAAAACACACTGCTAAGACCAAAGGAAAGTTGAGAAAAGTGAAGTTTTACAACATTTTAGCTTATCTAAAAGGATATGTGTGAAAGACAACTAGAATGTTTAATGTACTGCAGCTTTCCCAAAGGCATGTTGTGTAACACATGAACAGACAGAATGACCCAGGACCAGGGATGAGAAGGGAGTGTGGTGCTGCCTTCTGGGAGTGTGGTTGTAGATGAGATTTAAAGTGATTTCTCAGCCCTCTGTGGGGAAGCAGATGACTTTAAACTAATGTAAAGAAAAATGTTAATTAACTAAATATTGTTAACTATAGTTCTTATTTGATAACTGTTGTTATATGTAATTTTACTATGTTAAAATTAAAACCCTTCTTTTTATTTAGACAAAAAAGAGGAGATGATGGGGAATGGTCTTCTGTATATGTTTATCTTATGGGATGATGAATAAAACACTGTGGCCAATAGGGCAGCACGATAGGTGGGCCTAGGAGATGAGGATTCTGGGAAAACATAGGCAGAGAGAGAGACACAATTGTAGACCACAATGGAGTAAGAGGCCCGACCTTTTCTCTGGTAAATAAGACTATGTGGAAATACTTACATTGATAGAAATGAGTTAGAAATTAAGTCAGAGATAGCCAATAAGAAGCCCTAGACATTGGCCAATAGCACTATAATTAATATAACTGTCTCTGTGTTATTTGGGGGCTCTGAGGCGGCTGCGGAACCAGGCAGGAACATTGTAACATGGTGGTGCACACCTGTAACCACAGCACTTGGGGGCTCAGGCAGGAGAAAAATCTATGTAAGCTTGAGCTACACAGTGAGTTCTAGGTGAGATGGGGATAGCAAGGTGAGTCTCTGTCCCTAATCACAACAAGAACAACAGAGAAGGAAGAAAGGAAAAGGAGTAGAGAGAGGGTAACACATTCCTGCTAGCCAGCATGTGAGGCGCTGAAGGCAGGAGAATCTCAAGAAGATACTGAGATGCTGTCTTGATAAAAACAAATACAAAGCAAACAAAAACAGTGGAAAATGGAATGTACTAAGGAACTAAAACGTACTAATGTATAAATTATTCTTGAGCATTGTAATTAAAAGGCAGAAGTATTTTAATTAGTCAGCCATTTTTCCAAGTGTTAAGTTACTGACTGCCTGCCTCCTCAGAGGAAGCATCTAGAAAATTTTTAAAAAAGTAAGGAGTCTGTCTGTGACTTTGCAGTTCTCTTCTTTTAAATAAGCTTTTTGGAGTGTGCTACCGAATCCTAGTGTTCAGGAGGCAGAGGAAGGTGATCTCTATGATGTTCCAGGACAGCCTGATCTACTCAGTGAGACCATGTCTACAAAGGTCTGCTATGCAGCCCATGATGGCCTTGAACTTGTGCCTTCCTGGGCCAGTCTTCCTGGTAAGTGTCCAACTTGTTTCCATTCTCTTTAGGTGAAAGAACAGATCCTAAGGTATCGATTCAAAACCAGCTGATCATGTGACTAAGGGTTCTTATGAAGAAACACAGCTTTAGAATTGGGAGAAGTACACCATACTGAAATATTTGATCTTTCTCTATCTACATACAAACTTATACGGATTTTTATATCTATATATAAAAGTACAAAATTTCACAAGGCCTATGTGATGATTTGAGGTTTGTCCCTGCCAAAATTCCTGTTTGAATTTGCCTGCTAAGGCAGTGAGTGGTGCTGGGAGGCAATCCCTGTAGGAGGGGTTAATGTCTTCTTGATGAGGTTAGACTCATTCTTGGGAAAGCAAGCTCTTAGAGGCAAGTGTGGATTCCTTGGTGCATTCACATGTGTTCTCTCTATTCTGGAGGCATCTTCTTGATTACTCAGTCTCAGGATTTACAGTAGAGACAAAAACCTGACTACTAAGCCCTTCAGATGTAACTACACTAACCTTCATATTTTTCTCATTTAAAAATATTTTTGAATGATCAATGGTAATGGGGGATGTCCTTCTATATGCTGTAAATATATGTTTCTCCTATTGGTTGATTAATAAAGCTATTCCAGCCAATGGACAGGCAGGATTTAGCCAGTGGGAAATCCAAACAGGGATAGAGAAAGGTAATAGGTGGAGCCAGGGAGACATCATGTAGCTACTAGGAAGGTAGAAAGCCCAGGCATTCTCTGGTAAGTCAAGACCATGTGGAGATACATATATTAATAGAAATGGGTTAATAATTAAGAGAGAGCTAGCCAATAAGAAGCCTGAGCCATTGGCCAAACAGTTAATAATTAATATAAGCCTGTGTGTTGATTTGGAACTAAACAGCTGCAGGACTGGGAGGGACAGAAACTTCTACCAACACAATGAATTTATCAAAATGTTAAGATTACCCTGAGTAAAAAGGTAAAACATCAATACAGTCATCAGGCTATCCAACTTTGACCATAACCTTTTGTAGAGCTGACGGCTCCCTGTCTATCCCTGAAAACATAATGAATAAGGTGTGTTTTTACCTTGCTGAAGGCTACTGTGAAGACAATTGACAAATGTTGCTAATATAGTTGCTACGTTCATCACTTGCCAGCATTGGGCAAGGCCAAGAGTGAAGAGTTCATTCCAGTACGCTTTTACCAATGATATACTGTTTTCTTGCCTAGTAAAGACAGAAACAAAGGCATACATCAGATATAAACTTCACAATTGATCAATGCACTAAAAACACCAAATTACAACTATTCTAAAACACCCACACTGGAATATACCTGAGAATTCTGTGTTTTGCACAGTTGGCAGAAGTCCACAAAGAAGGCCTAGAAATGTAAACTCAGCTAGCTCATGTTCACTCAGCCAGTTTATAAGAACAGCGATGGTAAGATTTAAAAACAGCTCAGTAGAGACCATTTGGAACTTTCTCAATACAAAAAAATTATTTTTGCGTGTGCATGTGTGTGTACCTGAGGTGATCATTACAATGTGTGAGTGTGTTAATGTCCCAGTGCTTTCCTTAGACACACATAATTTCTATGAATCCATTGCCAATAAAAACACATTGCAGCCGGGCGTTGGTGGCGCACGCCTTTAATCCCAGCACTCAGGAGGCAGAGGCAGCTGGATCTCTGTGAGTTCGAGGCCAGCCTGGTCTCCAGAGGCGAGTGCCAGGATAGGCTCCAAAGCTACACAGAGAAACCCTGTCTCGAACCCCCCTCCCCCCCAAAAAACCACACTGCAATAATTTTAAGTGACAGGCCATCATATGCCAGATACTGGTGAAATGAGAATTCACATGTGGATTAAGTTGGCCTATGAAAGAGAACGGTTGTATAAATGTGCATTTTTAGATATTTTATATAAGTTTTATCTAAACATATATATATTATTATATATACCATTAATTTCAGACAATTAAAATTCCACTTGTATGAAGATGACATGTAAGAAAATGGAAGGGTCAGAGAGGACTCTGAGGCAATGACATTCAATAATTTGAAGAAAAAATTTTAATAATTTATATGCATGTATATATGATATCTGTATATGCTGTGTGTGCGTGCCTGCGTGTGTGTGTGTGTGTGTGTGTGTGTGTGTGTGTGTGTGTGTGTCCTCAGAGGCCAGAAGCTAGAGAGGCACGGCCCTGTCTTCTCTGAATGTTCTTTGTCCACTTGGTGTTCTAGGTATCAAACCCACTCTCTCTTTAAGGGCTAGATCGAGCTTTTTGTTGTTGTTGTTGTGCACTGAGGATGACCCCAGGGCCATGAGACAGTCTGATGGTTTGGAATGCACAGTCCTCTTGCTGCAGCCTCCCTAGTGCTAAGATGACAGGTGTGCACCTGGTATCTGAGTGCAGAGGTTGTTTCTTTGAAGAAATTCCCCCTCCCTCCTTCCCTCCCTCTCTCTCTAGTCCCTTTTGGTGTTTATTTAACCCCATACAGTCAGAGTTTATGCATATTTCATAGTTTCCTAGTTTGTTGTGTTAGGGGTCTGTTTGCCATACCACCCAAAGGTAAAAGTTCCCTCTCATGCATTTCTGCACAGAAGTGAACAGTTCAAAGTCCATGGCATAGAGAAAAAAAAAAAATCTGGGTTGTTTGTTTATTCTAATCTTTGAGGATTCAGGCAGGAGTGACTTTAAAAAGTCAGCTAGAGACAGCGGTGGCACACACCTTTAATTCAAGCACTCAGGAGGCAGAGGCAGGAGGATCTCTGAATTTGAGGCCAGCTTAGTCTACAGAGAGAGAGAGTACCAGGACATTCAGGGTTACACAGAGAAACCCTGACTTGAAAAGCCAGAAAAAAGAAAGAAAGAAAGAAAGAAAGAAAGAAAGAAAGAAAGAAAGAAAGAAAGAAAAAACTTTCAAGCAAATTATCAGATAACTAGGGTTTCTTTCCTTTCTCCAAAGAGATTCAAGTTAGTTAAACACACTGATCCTGGTGACTGCACATAAACTATTTCCTTCTGCCACAGGGTGTCAGCGAGATGATTCACAGGTAAAGTGCCTGTCATCAGGTCTGGCCACCCGCGATCCCCAGGAAGCATATGGTGGCAAGAGTGAACTGACGACTGCAAGCTGTCTTCTGACCTTCACATGTGTGCTGGGCCATGTGCACCCATCCCCCAAACACAAAATAAAGAAACTTGCAATTTTGAGTACATAAGTGCACTCAGGTACACACATACACACAAACAAAAAGATACAAAGGCTAACATTGCCACCTAAGAGTTTACAAAGTAGCTGCACATGGTGGTGCATGTGTTTACACAAAGCATGGGGGAGACTGAGGCAGGATAGTCTAAGAGGTCAGCTTGGGGGCATGATGAGTTCCTAGCTAGTCTGTTGCCAGTGTGAGATTCTGCCTCAAAAGCAACAAACAAACAAACCAAAACCAAGGGTTTACAGAGAAGGTTTGTTTCCTCATGGGAATTACTCAAGTGAGAATTTAACTTTGGTATTTGGGAAAGACAGTCTGCCATCAGAAGAAACTGGCTATGGAATAAACTTGAAAGTAAAGCTCATATGCAAAGAAAAGCAGCATTCACAAATCGTCACACAGAAAACAATGATGAGAAAGCCATCTCAGTTAAAGTCAAGAAAAATAAGACATTGTGTTTGGTTGTCAGAAACAGTAAGATCCAGTATCAACAGTGAGGAAGAAAGCATCAGGCATCCACTGCTGTCATAGCATAACTAGTCAGTGCTTCCTGGGTACAGCTTTTAACTCTCGAAGCAAGCATGAATACCTTATACGACCTAGCCATTTCCCTGGAAGGAACCTATTTTATGGAAATAGTAATACACATTGACAAAGTGTGCTTAGTAGCACTGGGTAGAATACAAAAGCTGGCAACAGCCCAAATGTCTACTGATAGAGATGAGTATGTAAGTTAGAATACTTCCTTAAAGGAGGCAGCCATTAGGGAAAATGGGAATCTATACATGTGGCACAGGGAACTTGATACTGTAATGTGACAATCGAGAGAAATAACAGGATGTGCCATTATGTGAAGTTGTTTGGATGGCAAGAAGAGAGCTGTCAGGACACTGGATTCTTAGCAATGGATTAGCTATTTCTGGGGAGAAGGTTTTACTTTATGGTTCTATACTTAGGGTTACTTTACGCATGAAGAAAAGTTAAAAACAAACCAGCTTTCATCTTAACCTCTGATTATGAAGTTTTAAAAAGAAAACAGCTAACTAGTTAAATAGTATAGTGGCTTGGAAGAGAATGGCCCCGGAAAGGTTCATATGTGTGAATACTTGATCCCAACTGGTAGAACTGTTTGGGAAGGATTGGGAGGTGTGGCCTTGTTAGAGGACAAGTATCACAGGGGGTGGGCTTTGAAGTTTCAAAAGACCCAAGCCATCCCCAGTGTTTCTCTCTGCCTCTTGTTTGAGGTTCAAGATGTGAGCTCTCAGATATTGTTTCAGCACCATGTTTCCCTGTCTGGTGACATGTTGCCTGCCATGGTGCTCATGGACTCTAACTCTCTGAAGCCATAAGGTCCCCAAAACTTTTTTTCTATTAGTTTACTTGGTCGTGATGTTTTATTATAGCAATAGAAAAGTCACTAGGACAAATGGCAAAAGCAGGAAAGTAAAAATAACTGGAAAAAATATCAGAGCTGGTCTGTGCTACCCTTTGTATTGGAAACACCTTGGCCTTATAGAGAAGGCTCAGAGAACAGCTTAGATTCAGTGCAGAGGTAAGGTAGAAGCAACTAGCCAAGACAAACAACTGAGAGTAAACTACTAGATTAGCATATTACCAGAAAAAAAGTTACAGGGTTAATTGTAGAAATCAATTACAAATGGATATCCATCTAAGTTTACTCAAACCAAAGTTCCAGCTGGGGATGGGGTGTGTGACTGTAAGCTCAGTAACTGGAAAGATGACACAGAAGGAGCAAGAGTTCAAGGCCAACGTGGGCTACACAGTAAGTTTGAGGATATCCTGGAGTCACAGCAAGAACCTAAATATTGGACATGTTTGCTATCAGATTTTTTTCTGTTAGGAAATGAATGACTATTACAGTATCCTTGTAGTACCTACTTTCAAAATGTCTTTTTTCTGAGAAGCAAACAAAATGGATAGAAAATGCATTTAAGCTATCCATCCAGGTCCCAGAAAGTCCCACAGTATCAACAACAAAAGCATTATGTTGGCCAAGTTGCCTATGACTGAGAATAACTCAACCATTTGGCAACCACATAAATATACCCAATGCGTGACCTGCTACCCTGACATCTGTTTGAACTGAACCCATGGTCTTTAGAGAAAAACAATCAACAATGTGCAATAAATCACCAAACTACAGGTTTGAAACCACCAGGTTACAGAAGATATTACATTGCTTTCATGGGACCATGGAACATTTAATTTTCAGGTGTAGTGTTAATTAAAACTTGTGTAAATTATAAAGTTTCTGTGGCAAGTGAAGGTGGTCTGGAACTTTTGGTTCTAAGAATCTAGGCAGAGTTGGCCATGATAGCACATGCCTAAAGTCCCAGGAGCTGGGAGACTGACTGGGGGCTGACATGAGTTTGAAGTCAGCCTGGGCTAAGCAGTTAGACCCTGTTCCAAAAAAACAGGACAGTGAGATAACTCGGTAGTTAAAGCACTTACCATCAAGCTGACAACGTGAGTTCAATCCCAGAAACTGGGAGACAACTGATGTACACCAAGCAGTGTTAATACACCCTCGTGTGTGCCTTGTAATGCATGTCACACACACACACACACACACACACACACACACACACTCAAAGTAAACAGCCCTGCTGCTATCCACATTACATAAATTACACCAAGTAACCCTAGCTTCTTAATCTACTGGAATTGTGGAGACATTTACCTAAATCATGCAGAATGAATTTCCTACGAATTAAACTATGGATCTTAAACAGAAAATCAACACTCCTATTAAACATAGAGGCTTTTCAAAATACAATAGACACTAACCAAATCCCCACCCACTAAGTCATTCGAGTTAACATGTCTACTACAACTGTCTGTGTTTCTCTGCAAAATTATAGCTCTGTGGACCATTTCTGTATCCAGCCAGAAAAATTCAGCACACACACCCCTTTAGAACATCTTTTGTCTCCACATAACAGAGCTTTCCTGCCATTAGCATCCAGCTCTTATCTGATTAAGTCAACTCATAAACAGGATTTAAAGATTATCTAGGCAGAGATAAGAAGTAGGAGTTTATGTAGCAGCTAATGGCCTGGATTGTTAGCTCAATAGCTATTCTAATTAAGAGTCCTGTGGCTGCAGCACAGAGACCGATTTCCAATATAGATTAAAGAAAAGAGGCTGCCATAGAAAATTAATTATTCTTTAAACAGAAACCTCGGGCTCTGCTCTTAGTTTCTTCACCATCTCAGCTGTTTCTATGGGATAAGCACATTCAACAAAAGTATTTAAAACATTGGCGGCGTGACTAATTGAAAGAGTTCGCCTTATACCTCCAATTCTTCTCTTTTACTAAAATAATGGATAGTTTATTCTGGGGGAGGTGAGTGGGGTGGGAACTGAGATTGCTTTTCTGGCCTAAGTGTGTCAGTTATGAGCTTGGTTGATGGCAATTAATGCTTAATATCATAAAACATTCAGTATGTTAATGTTTTTATGCCATATTTTAACGTTTTTTTTCTTAAAAATATTGTAAAATTGCTAAAATTGAATATTATTCTTAGATGAAAAAGGAAGGCTCTTTCAGAGGTTACAAACTCTAATGTAACTTCTGTTCTGTATGTCACAGCTCACTGATTAGCTGGTAACCATATCAACTACATCCTGTGGATTCAGGCTCATGTGAGTTTCAGTTATAGTCAAAGTATTCTATAATGATAGGAAGGGGTAGTTATCTCCATTTGTCAAATGGGGAATAAATGAGCAGGCTAAGAAAGTGAATAGTTAGAAATCAGACTGACTAGGGAGGGTCCTATGAGTAAACTAACGCTTGCTGACTAAAGGCGTGGCTCTCTTACTGTCATATGCCAGGTACTTTAAAGGGAGGTTGGCAAACTTTTGTAAGGCTTTGACTTCTTGGAGCACATCACTTTCCATTTCATCTTATTGCTTCAAAACAAAACACAGATATGGTCTGTCATATTGCAAATTTCTAAAATGGTCTTTGGAGGTTAGGAACTAGATGACTGGAAAACAATCACCTCTAACTTTAAACATATAGGTAAATACAGCTCCCTAATGACATGCCTAGGATAAATACTGAACCAGTGTTGGAGTACAACCACCCAGCAGGAGCACCCAGTCTTTGACATTGTACAGGACATTGCCATCTATAAAATTCACTCAAAGATCACATCATCAAAGTACAGTAAATAAATATAATTAACACATCACAAGAATTCTATATTGTCTTATGATTTTATAGCTTTTATTACCTGTATGTAGCTCATGGCCATGAGGCAGGACATGCCTCAGTTCTAATACATTCCTATCTTAAAAAAATGTATATGTGCATATTTTGCTTGCATGTATGTCTGTGTGCCAGCAGCAGAGTCAGAAAGAGGGTATCAGATCCCCTGGAACTGGAGTTAAGAAGGCTGTGAGCCACCAGTGGGTGCTGGAAACAAAGCCTAGGTCTTCTGCAAGAACAGACAGTGCTTTTAACCACTGGGCCTCTCTACAACCTCCACAATCCTATCATTGTGCTAATCAAAGATGGCCATTGCTGGTGCTGGCCACAATTTGTCCTCTCCACTTACCCAGATTATTAACTTGTTCAAACTATAAAACATGGCTACTCTTCCACACAAAAAATAAAACAGGAAAAAGGTAGTTAGCTATCATGAATTACCACATAAATAGAATGGCAGACCTTTTTTTTGTTCTACTATAGTACAAATCCTCCCCAAATGAGCTTCTTGTTTAAATACACGTGTGCCACAAAAATCACATTTATATTCAACGACTTGAAAACACTCACCCTAGGGCCTGGAAAGAAGGAATGGAGAGTGCCCAGTGCATCGATAAGAACAGCAGTCTGGAGGCCGACTCCCCAATGTAGTGCACATTCAGGTACTCGGGCATAGGAGAAGGCATGGTGAGCTAGCATGAACAGGGATTTAGGTAAATTATCTTATGACTTAAAGTTCTAAGTTAGCAGTTCTTTGAAAAACTTGAATATGAATATAACACATCATATAGGAATCCAATACTTCACCTAAAAAATTTCTAATACTGAAATAACTCAAGTCACTGATATTACAATAGTGCTTAGAAGGAGTGAACAGATTGTAATCTCTGTCAAAGCAACATCCGGATAAACAGACTCTCACTTAATGGCTGTCAACCATGAGATGACTTGGTTTAATTTATGAAGTTACTATATTAGTACATCAGTGTGCCCTTTCTTTCCAGTGTACTCCTTTCTTTACCAATGCAACACAGTGCATTTCAGTGTCAAGCAGTCCTGGAAACTGAAGGGTCCTTCATGTAGGTTACAGTTATGCTGGCAGAGTTAGCAGTGTAGCGAGTGTGAAGGAGGCCTGCTGGTGCCAACTGAGGAGAGCATGCTCCCAGACACTGGACACAGCTATGGCCTGAATGAAGCATAAGAAAACATATGGAAATCAGGGTTCAACGCTGACACTCCATCAGTTCTTGAAAGAGCAGGTCAGTGCAGTGTCACCCTATCCTAAAATACTGTTACTGGATACAAAAGTATGTTTAAAAAATGTTCTATGGGGTCGGGTGTTGGTGGGGCACGCCTTTAATCCCAGCACTAGGGAGGCAGAGGCAGGCGGATCTCTGTGAGTTCAAGGCCAGTCTGGTCTCCAGAGTGAATGCCAGGATAGGCTCCAAAGCTACACAGAGAAACCCTGTCTCAAAAAACAAAAAACAAAACAAAACAAAAAAAATGTTCTATGAGAAAAATGTGTCCATAGGCAAGCAACTCAAAAGGCTATCAGTTTGTATTATTATAAACAAAAAATAGGTGTAAAAAAAAGTAATGTCCATTTTGACTTTAGATAGCTATTTTAAGTATCTGACTACAGTGGAGACAAATGGAAGTCTGAAAACATTCTGGATGTCTAAAGAGAGGTGACGCCACTACATGCGGCATGTTTAAGAATCTCTTTTCCTGTTTGGAATCAACAGTACTGATCTGATACAGGGCCCAGGAAATAAGGACTAACGGTGACGGAAGGGCTCAACCAGAGGAAAGCTGGCTGTTATCTACCAAATGGGAAAACTGACTTATATCGTTAGACCTAAAACACTGTTAACATCCCTAATCCAAAATCTAAACTTGGAAACATTTTGGGGATCAATGTTTAATGTTTCAGACACTGGCACATCTTGGATTTTCAGATCAACAGTGTTCAACCAGTAAAGACTGAATATCCACCCCCAAATCTGAGAAACTGCAAAATCCTGACACACTTCTAGTCCCATGTACCATTTCTAGATCGATTCTAGAAAACACTTGCTCATACACACAAAAAGTCACAGTTAAGGACATCCATTTTAGCTTAGCTTCTAAGAGTGACATGAAATGCTGGTGACAACCCAAATTTCCATCACCAGAGAGAAGAATACTGTCCACTATAGAATATCTTAGAAGTATTAAAATTAGTAAGAAAATAGAGATAAGAGTAAAACCAAAAATCTGCCAGGTATGATAGTGCACGCCTGTAATCCCAGTTTTTGGGACGGTGAAGCAGGAAGACCACAGCTTGAAATTGAAGCTAGACTGGTCTGTGCAGCAAGTTCCAAGCAGTCTGGGCTCCAGAGAGAGAGATTTTCCCTAAAATAAAACAAAACACAACAAACAAAAACCCTCACAGACACCTAAGTAGAAAAAAAGAGCAAAATAAAATGCAGAGGATCCAGTTTCTGCTGAAACCACGAACATGAAGAAGATGCCAGATAGTGAACAGCAGCTTCTGGGGGTGGGGGGTGAGGGGTGGGGCAGGGTGTACAGCAGTGCCATATGCATTTTCTCCCACGGAGTGTGCTCCTGTGTGTGCATGCGCACATGTGGGATCCAGAGGACAACCTCATCCGTACCTAACACATTACACCATTCATCTTCTTTGTTGAGAAAGAGCCTCTCACGGATCTGGGGCTCATTTAGGCTGACTGGCTGGGAAGCCCCAGGGAAGCCTATCTCCCCACAAAACTGGGATCACAAACACATGGCACCATGGCTGACATTTGTTTGTTTATTTTTTAACATGAACCCTGGATTTAAATTAACACTTTACTGATTGAGCTATCGTTCCACATTCCAAAAGTATTTTTTTTCCTAGTGAATAGCTTTGATAAGATTCTCAAAGGTATCTATAAAAGCAAACAGATCAAAGAGTTTTCAGCAAGAAGATATAAAAGTTCTCTGGATTGGCCGGGCATTGGTGGTGCAGGCCTTTAATCCCAGCCCTCGGGAGGCAGAGACAGGCAGATCT